AATTGTAATATTTAATATATAAAATTATAATATATTAGATTTTTTAATAAATATGAGAGCCTCTAGATTTTCTGGGAATAAGCTTCTACGATATAGACTATTTATATCTCCTGCCGTACGGAAGGCAGACTCAGATGATTCCGCAGATAACGCATTTTGCAAAATTATCTTTGTCTTTTGTAAATATTTCCATAATTCAGATACCATATTTAAAAAAATTCATATATTTAAAGTAGAAATAAAAAAATTGGCGTTATTTAAAAAGATTTAAAATAAATAAAACTTTGGGTGTTCCTTTCTATTTTATAAAAAGAACTTTTTAAAATACTATAAATCTATTTTAAAAAAGATATAAAATTTAAAAAATTATTTAGAAAATATTATAATAATGTAATAACAAAAAAAGAAAAGTAAAAAGAACGGATCGGTTTTTTACAGGTATCGGCCCGACCCGATATTTTTGGAAACGTTAAATATCGGTACCGATCCGATCCGATATTTAATATCGGCACAGCCCTAATAATGATTAAAATATTAAATTTAATCAATATTACCTTGAACGATCCACTTAGCCAATATGGTTAATAGCCAAATCGTCAAGGGCTAAACGGCAAATTGTTTGAAAAATTATATTAAAAAATAATGCTGATTTATGATATTGCATTATTTATATTTACCAATTAATTTTTTATTCTGATAATGTTTTCATTTTTATAATATGCAGTTTTTTTAAAATATATCTTTCTATCGCATCATCTTAAATAACAAATTTGTTAATTATTTACAATTTTAAATCTTGATCATTTTGATTTTGACTATTTAAAGTTTAAAAAAAAAGTATCTTATATATTAGATACTTTAAAAAATACAAGTTTCTTATATCTTATTGAAATTTATGTATCTTAAATACAAAATTTGTAAAGCATTTATATCTGGGTACAATTTTCTGAAAATTTGCCCCACTCTTGGGGTACCCTATACACTTTGGAATACATTATTGGTCAAATCAAATCTTAAAAATTTAAGAATCGCTCTCAGTAAATGGCTTAAAATTGAGAGATCGAAAGAGACCTGCAAAATCGAAATATTTTGACTGAGTCCGCTTAATGGCAATTTAAAAATCTAGGCCAAGTCAGTTGCGGTTTGCAGCCAGAATTTTTAAATAATTTTAAAATCTTTAACTTAAAAATTTTATTTTATTCTCTATTTTAATGTTATATAAGAAATTTAAATATTCAAAATGACTTTTAATTTGATACAGATACAGATGCTTTTTAAAATTTTGTATTTAAGATACTAGACAAAAATTTCAATAAGATATACTATACCCATATCTTATTTTTTTTAAATATCGAAGATCTATGATACTTTTTTTAAACTTTATTGTAGAAAATTGACAAATTTGTTATGTAAGATGATATGATATAAAGATATATTTTTAAAAATAGTATATAATGAAAAAATATTAGATAAAAAAAAAATAAATGTAAATAAATTAACATAAATTTTCATTATTTTTTAATATCATAAATTTTTCAACAATCTGTCGTTTAGCCTTTGACGATTTCGTCATTGATAACATTAGCGAAGCTGAATAATCGATCACATGGGTAGAGGATAATTACATTTTATTAAATTTGAAAATATTTCTTTTGTATTTTACTATTTAAAATATTTATATTGCGCCTGTTGTAAGACCCCTAATTCAATATCATTTACTGAATTATTTGAATTGGATGTGGTAATTTTAAAACAAAAGTAATCATGGAATTTTCTGGCATATTAATTTTGACATTATTTTTTAAATAGTTAAAGCTTCGTGCATTAATAAATCCTGAAGGTATTTTAAGGATGAGAAACAGTGGCCAAAAATGCCGTTTTAAAGTTAACATCAAATTCATATATATTTTTAAGTTTTTATTTAAAGATTTTTTGACTGCTATATGGAATAATCTCAAAAATCAGTTTGAATAACTACATTTAATATTGGAGCCGATTCTCCCTTATAGTAGCTGATTTTGCCTTTTGTCAATCGCTATATCCAATGAGGACATTATTTTGCATATTTTTTCAAATATTGCATTTCCAATATCTATTTATTTTCAAAATTTTAATTTTTCTTATAAATTTGGTAGTTCGCTTTTAAATTATAATAAACTAGTTACGCTATCAAACATGCTATTCCATCTCCTACAGCGTGGTATAACTAATTGTTTTCCTAAAACTGCTCTAATCACCTCTGCAATTTAGGCCTATTACTAACATCCCCATAACTAATACATTTGGCTAGTGAGGGGTGATAAATTCTAGAAATGGTGGGTGGATCCTTAATAGCATTCTGAACCTATGTTGTGGCAATATGGCTCACCATATGGCATAGATAACGAATGTGCTGATGATATTGATATCTCCTTTTAACCTTTAAATAAACAATAAATAAAATCTTTTAATTTACGATATCATTATAAATATCGCATTTAAAAAAGATACTATTAAATAATACTTTAAATGACTTCGAATTCTATACATTTTTCGTCTTCATTGATGTCAAAATCATTCTCCATACCTTCTTCCATGAATATTCAAACTGCTTAAAAATTTTAATGAAATTGATCCTTTGTCCGTCTCAGTTGTTATAACTTTTTCATCAATTTCAGACTCACGATAGGTTTCACCAACTAACTCATCTATTTTATCCTATGCGCTCCCAAAAATTTCCTTACAACAAGGGCCTGAGATTTTCTTTGTGAACTATCTTTTGAGAGCTAATTTAATTTATAAATTAATCATTTCATTATCCATTAACAAGTCATCCCAAGAAAGCTTTTCTTCTTGGTAGTCTAAATATCTGCAGTAGTGCAGATATATGTCTGAGATTTCAAAAACTGTTTTAAATTATCAGTTTCATATTTGAGCAAACATCAATTTTTCTTTGCAAAAATATTCGAGAATTTTTTAATTGGTCATGGTAATTTAAAAGTTGTTGGCCCGTGATTGTTAATTACTCTTAGGGAATTTTTAATTTTAATTAAATTACAAATTTTCATGTTTTACATTTATTCAAATCATAATTTATAATTAGTACATGTATTTTTCCGTATTAATTTAAAATTAATAAAAATAATTTCGTCTTTTTCGTGGTAAGAACCTTCTTGTTTAATTTACTTTTAATTAAATTTAAATACTTTCATATTAAAAATGATAAAACCTTTCATGTGTTTTAAGTAAGGATACGTCGACTAAAAAGGCGTTACTATTTTTGAAGAAAAGGAACGCCATTCGTTACCTTCTTTTAAAAATAATGAGTAACGGTAACGCTTTTCTTTTTTTTGAGTAAGGGTAACGCAAGACGTTACTTGTTATCTTAGTTTTTTTTCTTGAAAAATATGGAAAAAACATTTTATTATTCTATTATAAAATTTATTTTTCGAAAAAATTATGTAATCAGCAACTATTGAAATAAAGAGAGAATTTACCCGTCAAATAATTTAAGCCAAGTTTTTTAATCAGATACCAAATTATTTATTTTTATTTTAAATTTTCAGTCAAGATTATTAATCTTATTAATATTGAATAAATAAAAATATGTTAGTTTATATTCTTATTCTCTAATATTAATTTATTTTATAAAGAATATTATGTCAATTGTACATATTTCTTCAGATGAAGATGATTTATCTTGCCCTGACCCCAATATGAAACATTTTTTACACCAATAAAAAAAGTACAAAGTTTACACTTTGTAAAATTGTATCCCAACTCAAATATTTTCTCAATTATGGAATAAACATGGACAGTCTCGAAACTGTGAAGCCATTTTTAAGGAAAAAATGGTAAATCCTGTTATAAAATCAAAATATAAGTTGTCAACAATATTTCAACTGTATACCTTTTTGTCTGGCAGTTTTGCATTAATAAGTAGCTTACAAACTTAAAATTATTTAAAGCAATTTTTTTAAGTTTTAATATTATAATAGTTTATGGTGGGAGTGAGATATCCCAAATGTTCTAAAATATAAAAGCCCCAGCGACACGTTCCATAACATGAAATCATATATACATATATTTTTTAATTAAAACTAACCATAGAATATAAATGAACGACTTGTCATTATCTAAAAATCTCTGCGATTCGATTTATCACAAGATTCGTCAAGTTGTTTATTCTCCTTAATGAGACTATTAATGGTTATAATTTTCAATTGATTCGAACACATCTATGAAGATGAATATATTACCAATAATAATTTACCCGCTATTTAAATTAGATTAACCGTCAACGATAGTAGGAAGCTTGTTATTTCGGAAGCTTGTTATTTCCAGTTTGGGAAAATATCATGACAAGAAAAGGCAGACTTTGATTCCTTTAAATAACATCACCAGATTATTTTCTAAAAGATAGAAAAAATAATATGAGGATCTGAATGATGATCATGTTGAAGATATCAATTAAATTTGAAACGCGAACCCGGTTCAATTCTATTTTAAACCAAACCGAAATCCATTTTAAGTTTATCCTTGAACCTTAACTTGATGCCATAAAAATTGGAAAACGGGTTAAGTTCAGGTTGAAAATAAATAAATCATTTTGTTGTGGACTCCTAGGCAATGGCGCAGGCTTGAATCCAAAAAAGTGCCACTCTTTTCAAATATAATAAACCTTTACTTTATCATTATCGTAATTATGGCATTTTGAAGATAAGGAAAACTATGTATTATTATAGAGATATAAATCACATTATCATTACGTGAAAATAGAATTATGGAGATTGTTGTTCCTTAAACGCACAATAATATTTAAAATTATGAGATGTTACGAAAAATATATAACATAATTTAACAATAGGGATATATGCTTTAAGCGGCAATTATTAGATACTTTTAAGAAGTATTAAAATTTAAAAATAATTTTTGTTTTTGTGATTAACACTATTTGATGATATGATGTTTAATGCGGTGTTATTATTTATATAAATATTAATGAATAAATAATTTTTAAGATCCAAAAATCCAAATGTTCTCGATTATGCCTTTTAAATACGAAGCGGGCTTTTTGCACAACGCCATACTACAACTTCAATACCCAAATAACGATAGCTTGTACTCTCATGGGCGTATCCAATTTTTATTTTACATTTCTGGACGAGAAGCCACAGTAATTCTTATCATTAAAATTATCCTTGTTTACACACATTAGTCATTTTTAAACATTTACTAATTATTTTATTACTTTTTTTGGAAAATGATATATTTAACATCTGATTTAAATACCAAACAAAATAGTCAGAATGATAATTTTATTTATATCTGCACCATAAAATCCTTAAAACTTTTATAAAATCTTCATTTCTTAAGGTTAAATTAAAACTAAACAAATTCTTTTTAAAAAATTAGAAGCTTAGCAAAATAATTAAAACATGGTCATATATTTAAAAATAAGAAACCTATCGATTTGTTAAAAAAACTGAGACTGAGAATATTATAATTTGATATCTATTAACAAAAGCTTAATAAAATATTTAACGAATAGAATATATTTATAAATTCATAGATATAATATTTTGTCATAAATTTTGAGGGAATTATGGTAGTTCACAAATTTGTGTCATTATTATTATATAGAAGGTTATAAATTCTAATATCTTACCTATTCATACATTTATTATTTTTATTCCACTCCCTTCAAAAAAGTATATGAGAACTGCTATGTATGATAAACCGCCTTACAGGAGCTTTTGGTACAACTATGCATCCGTTAGCTACAAAATGTTTTACGACATCGAATTCTTAGACAAAAGACCCTTGGGTGATTTTTACCCTGATCTCTCACCTCTTCTTTTAACGGTATAAGTATAAAAACCTTTGAATTTATCTAACCCGTTATCTAAATTAAAAAACAGGGAAATACTCATAAACGAGAACTTTATAAGCGATTTATACTTGTTTTACCCTATCCAGGGTACTTAAATAGTTTGTAGGTTAGCTGTTAATTATTAAATAAGGATTGCTATTAATCAACGTCTCGTTCCCTCTGCACCCAGACTGCGAAATAAAACCTACTATAAAACCAAAATACTAGGATTGGTAAAAATTAAGTTTTTTTATAAAAATTCAAAAAATCGATTTATTTGATTAAAACATTGTTTTATTTTATTTAAAACAAATTCATGGATTTAAATATTCCTTAATTTTACATGATTTCGTCCTAATTTTCTTACTAAAAATGGCAACTATTATCCTTAAAAAAGCAAAAGAAATAATTTCATATTACTTATTTTTTTATACAAATTACAATGGAAATATTTTTAAAATTATATGAAAAAAATTATCGGTATTCTATTTAAATGCAGTAAAACTTATCTAATCTGGACATGATATTTAAGAAATTCCCTAATTTGACTAAAATTTTGAGTGCCAATCAAATTCATAATAACTACGATTCGAAATTAAAAGATCTTAAAAAATTGAGCATCTAAGTTGTGCAAATTCTTGGTTCAAATCGTGCGCAAATTAGACAGGTTTTACTGTATTTTTTAGGAAGTGAATTGGTATATAATAGTCCCTTTGTTAGTGATAATCCATTTAATTTTCTTACGCTATGCCTCATTTGAAAGGGGTGGGGGCGGGGTGTTAAATTTGATTATTTGATAAAAATTACAATCATAGAATAATTTAAGTGGTTTAATTGTTGAAATATTTTAAAATATTTTGGTAAAATATCATATATTTATTTTAAGAATGGATAAATGTTATTTAAAATGATAATTATAATTTTTATAAGGACTGAGGCTTATTATGCCTTTCTTCCACGCTTCATTTTGAAATGTTGGGTGTTCGCCTCATTAAGCATACATAAATTATATTTTTTAAATTGAGTACATGAACAAAAGCTCGTCATCCAGTTCTCTAATTGAAATTAATTTCATTCTCATTGAATGCATCTGAAATTGATCAAAATCTATTTATGTCTTTCAAGTTCTTCAGTGTAAATATGCTTTCTAATAATAGAAAAGAAAGAATGTGGTCAAAAATATATAATGGTGCTTAATGATATAAAATATCCTTATAGCAAATATAAAAATTTAGATTTTTTTTAAAAAAAATCATGTTAAGTAAATACTTTATTTTTAAATTTAACGTTAAACACTTTTTTATTTTATATTCCATAAAAAAAACCTTAAATTTTAACAATAAAATAGTATTTATCAAATTTGATACATAAATAAAAAAATTGCAATAAAAAGTTTAAATTTTTAATATAAAGTCAAGTTTTTATTAGTAAGTTTCCTTATTTTTAAATTTAAGGTCGAAAATACGTTTTTTACCATATTTTTTATTTTTCACAAAAACACCTTAAATTTTAACAATAAAATTAATTTACTCCTAAAATAATAATTACTATAGTCTTGAGGCAAATACTTTTTTTGCATCAGTAAAATATTTAATCAATGAATTTATTCAAATTGCGATTTAAATTAAATCATTTTGATGTAATCATGCCAACTCTACAAATACTAGTACACTATGAATTAATACATTTTTTTAATTTTTATGTAGCCAAAATTATTCTTATATTATATCATTTTTAAAAAGGCAAGTGTATAACCCATAATTTTTAAGTTAGTAAACATCGACCATAAATAAATGCCTGTGAATATAGCCCATCTCAAACGGGTTAACAATATACCTTATATATTATGATGGAAATTTCCCCCAGAAATTAAGAAATTTTTAGAAATTATTGTGAAAAAAATTACTCTATTAGAAATTAGAAATAATAAAATAGTTTTTTTTTCATTTGAAAATATCATATTTTACCTAATAAATTTTGATAAAACATGAATTGTAAACCCTTCTACCATAGCAGGTTTACAAATGATTTTGAGCAAAATATCTTTGTAAATCATAAAATTGAACATTTTTTAAAAGATCAAAATTTTTTTTAAAAATATTTATAATTTCAACATTATATATTTTTATGCATAAATATCACCAAAGATTTACTTATAAAAGATTTCCTACAAAATTACTTTATAATTTTAGGTAAAATTTGGTCAAAAATTCTGTTTGAACATTCTTAGACTCTTCATTTTGGCAACAAATTTTTTTTCATTTTTTTCTAATAGCATTAATATGAAAATAAGAGGCTTGCAGGGGTCCAAATTTTAGTCCAGACCCAGATTTTAAAATCCGTTTTTCATCCCATGTTTTTAAAATTTCGTCATTTTAAATAATGTTGTAAATTGTTTTAAAAGAAATTGGAAATATACTACTTGTATTATTTTAACTTGTTAATTGATTGATATCATTTAAACTTATTAGGACTGGTCAGGGTTTTATAAAAATTAGCCTGGCCCGGATTTTTAAAATTTTGCCATTTTAGCCCATGTTCTGGGAAAGGTTTTGGGTCTGAAGATCTTTGATAAGAATATTAAAATGAAATATTAAGCTTATGTAGTTTTTCAAAAAAGCTGAATGTCATTTTTAAATCTAGATGCTGCATTTCTTTAATTTATGATACAATGAAAAGCGCCAAAATAGTCGTTATTCACCACATGTAGAATAATATTTAAAATAACATCTATATGATTTGTTAGATACATGCATTTTTTTTTTATCATAAATTAATGTATAAAATATGTAATTTTTAGGATAAAATTTGAATTTGGAAAATAAATAAAATTTAACCTTCATTCTTTAATTGGCCTTCATACTTAGTAGAATAATGAAATTTATTATCAAATGAGGTTTTTCACTTATTCTATAAATGGCTTAATAATAAGAATGTCAGCACTTATAATAAGTTTAATTCAAAAATTATTGGAGTCTAAAAATGGAATAATGAGTTTTTTCAAATTAGATGTTTGTTATATGACAGCGATAATAAATGGCCTAATGTGTCGTTAGAAACTACGATTTTAATTGGGTATCTTTCATATTATAAAAATTGGCCTTTATAAATCTTATGAAACCGAATATAAGATTTATGGTTATTGTAAGAACTGGCAAATCTTTCGATAAGAACCTCAGGGTCTTGGCTTTGATCCTACAATGATACGATGAAAATTTTATTCTTAAGAAAATATCAAATAAATGTTATTTTTTTAGAATAGAATAGCTTTATAAATTGAATAAAAATTTGAATTTTTCCTATTAATCATTTTTTTTAAATTTGCTACGGTTAATCCCTATTTGCTACTGTTGTTAAAGTAACTAGTTATATTTTTGCCAAAAAATAGTTACTTATTTTTAAATATAACTAGTAACTGCAATTTTTAAAAAGTAATTTCAAAAGTAAATAACTACTTTCTAGTTTCTTTTTATTGTTAAATATTTTTTGTATATCTCATTCATTATCCTTATTATTTAAAAATAATTTCGGTTCGGGCTAGGTCGGGCCTAATATTTTTTAAAAAATTTCGGACCGGGTCGGGCTTAAATTTTAAATATGATATTACATTTTGTCAGGTAAATTGATATATTTTAAAATTCTTGCAAGAAACAAGGCTCTAATATTTTTTATTTGTAGAATTTTTTTTTACTATTAAAAAAAATTAAATTTTTCTATATTTAGATAAATTCGGGCGGGGTCAGATATAATTTTTATTTCGGATCGGTTCGGGAAAAATAAAAAAAAATTTGTTCGGGATCAATCTGAGCAGGACAAATCTTTTAAATAAAATTTCTGACCGGGCTTGAAAAATTAGGTTCGATGTATACGATAATTTCTCAAATTTAAATTTACTGTTTACTGAATATAATGTCTCATAAACAAACGCTCTTGTAGAAAATTTGTTTAGACTAGGAAAGCTTATTTTTAGATATAAACGAGTATTCATTTAGACACCAATTTTGAAAAATTTATTGTTAATGAAGTCCAACAATAATTTATTAAACCCAATTTTTATAAAATATAAATATTGTATTGTGCTATATTTTTTTCGGTTCATATAGATATTATATTGTGATTTTTATTTTTTATCAATGCAAATAAATATTATATAGTGGCATATTTTTTCAGTGCGATATTTGAATTGTATTTTATTTAAATTCCTTAAATATATTAAAATTTGAAAAATTATTTTGTTACAAATGTAACTTTTAGCAACAATAATTTTTTTTAAAATTAAGATTGATCGGGAGGAATAAAATCCTTGCACTACATCTCTAGCTCTCCTACTCCAACCGAATATAATCACTAATCAAATTTTTGTAAAGGATTTAAAAAAATATATTTGTTTCCTAGTTATATCTATAAAATCCTGTTTCAAACATGTTTATACTTTTTAAATAAATGTTGAAAAAAATTAAGACGAGTTATCATAATTGAACACTTTCAAAGTTCTAGTTCTGACGCCATTTGGAAGAAAGAAAATAAGCATTCTAACTAACGGGAAATCCCTCTAGAATTCACAATGTAGGATTATCTATTACGCTTATACTCTTTCCTTACTTTTTTTAAAAAATATACCTTTATATAAAATGTATCTCCTGTAGTGTATCATTTGAAATTAACAAGTATTTTAAATATATAAAATAAGTTTGAAGTGATACTTTAAAGTGAAACGCTATATTAATATATATTATATTTATTTTTAGAAAAAAAGGCCTAAATTCGATTATTCTCACATGTACCTTGTCAAAATGACCCCTAAAAAGTCTTTGTACGACGATTGGGATCACGAAAGTTTAACCTTTTTTATGTCTTTTCTAAGGCAATTGCTAAGAAAACCCGCTGGAAATGATATAAAATCTTTCTTCGTCAAATGGATGGGCGCTAACCAATACAAAAGATTTTTGGAGAAAAACGTCAACACGCCCTCCACGATAAAACTTTTTCAACGGGAAAAACCTAGTATAAATTAGTTGGGTTTTATTTTATCTCTCTCGAATGACTTCTTTTAACCTTCATATATATTTACTGACAACAGGTTCAAAAAAAATCTAATAAAACTACTTAAGGGATCTAATAAAAAAAGGGAATGAAAATTGACCAATAGGGAATGTTTCAGTTAACGTTGTTGAGCTCGATTTGAGCCGATTTTTAAAAATGTTTAACTCAATAGCTCAATATTTTAGCCAGAAAAATATTGCTTACTTCTCAAGATTCCGCTAATAGATGGCAAAACCTTTGTGTCATTTATTTGCAAAATTTTAAACAAGCATAATATTTTTCTGGGTAAAATATGTTAAGCTTTTTTAAAAATCGGCTCAAATCTAACCGTTTAACAACACTACGCGACATGATAATTTTTATTATATTCATATTTATCGAAGACCGTCATAGGTCGAAGTTTTAAGCAAGGTATTTATGATTTCAAGCTAAGCACGGTTATTATTTTTACCCAAACCGAATTTTTAAAATTTTGATTATTTTATGGCCCGGCCTTTTATAAAAATCAAAAAAATCATTTTTTTAAAATTTTTATAATAATATAAAAACAATTTTATACAATATGCCATGGATGAAAGTAACTATTGAGACAAAGTTATTAATCAGGCATGCATTCATTTTACTATATTAAACTTTTTTTTGTGGAATTTATGTTTAACCATTGTTAATTAGCAAAATAATATTGATTAGAAAGTAGTTTATCATATACTATTATCATATCAATATATAACCTTTCCCATTTTTAATAATTCTTAAACATTCTGAGTATATAATTTATAATTCAAGACAGGGTTGTGAACCCGAACCCTGAACCAAAACGCTTCGAGCACTCAATATTTTACTGAACCTAAACCCGAGCCCTTTTTTAAAATTTAGGGTTCAATGACTTTTTTAAAAAATTATTAAAATTTTATTTATTTTAAAGAATATACTAATAATAACTAGGGCTGTGCCGATATTAAATATCGTATCGGATTTGCACCGTTATTTAGCGTTTTCCAAAAATATCGGATCGAGCCGATACCTGTAAAAAACCGATCCAATCTTTTTGCTTTTCTATTTTTTTGTTATTTAATGTTATATATATTTATTTTACATAATTATAATATTTTTTTTTATCTATATTTTTTTTTAATTATAGTCTTAATTGTAGAAATAATTTTTTTTTAATTAAATGCATAATTCGATTTTTTGTATATATTGATTTCTTAATTACATTTGGTTTAAGGGGGGGGGGTGAAAATCAGTATAAATATCGGATCGGTTTTGAACCGATGTCGGAACTTATCGGATCGGCGAAAAATATATGGATCGAATAACATATTGTCACCTGAGGATTATACTATTCTATGTCCACTTATTGAAAAAAATTATTTTTTCACAGAGTTTTATATTTTAAGGTCAGAACTATCTATCCCAACAACAAAAATGCTAAAAATGAATCCAGATTTCCAGGAATCCCCAATATTAAATTCTACAATGTGTTTTTTTAGATTATATTATTCTATTTCCATCCAACTAATAGGATTATATTATTATATATCCAAAAAAGGATAAATTGTCAAATTATTCTAACTCCAAAGTTTTTTTTTCTTCTATCCTTTAAAAATATGTTTATTTGGTAATTTTTATACTTTTTGAGGATATGCTATATCTATTTTAAATAAATTTTATAATAATTTTTCATTTAAAATGGCCCAAATAATTTAAGAAGAAAAGATAGATAGGCTCTACAATTTTATATCTCTAGTATTAAACAATGAAGTAAGATGATGTTTGATCTATATTAAGATAAATGTAGAATAGAAAATATCTAACCGGTCCTAGAACATGCTTATACAATAGTTAATTATGGCTTTAATCTAGGATTTCATAAACCATGAAAGATGTGATCTATGAGGAGTTTAAAATTATACAGTCCAATATTGAATTTTTATACAAATATAACAATCATGTAAATAATTAGAATTCCTCTCGGGAGCAACAAAATTCCGCGAGTTAATATCGACAAAGAGGTCGCTGTTGTTTGTTTTGATTTAGAAAAAATTCTGTCCCTTTTAAACTCAACATCCTCATTTTTTTACCAACGTAAATTAAACACTTACACAGCCCATTGTAACATCTATAAAAGGGCATATTGTGCTCTATGCTCATAGGGAATCTCAGGCGGAGTGCGCATCAGCTTTGATAAAAATTTTAAATCTAATTTTAAAAGATGTACCTAACCTTAGAGAAAATATTTTTCAGATTCATGTATTCGCCAAAATCAAATTCCATCATGTTCTTTAATTTGATCCATTTTATCGTGAAGCATCCTTCAATTAAAAGCATAACACAAAAATACTCAGAAACGGGCCATTCGAATATACAAGAGATCGACAACGTACATAGTCAGATCGTTATTTTTTTTATTATATCAAAAATTTTATCATATAGGTCTTTCTAAAACTGTGATTTACAGCCCCTTGAGCTTATTGCATATTTTACCAATGAATAGATCTAATCCATTTTAACCACCTAAATAATGATTTTTTGGAATATCAAGGAAGTTTCAAATGTTTTAACCAAAAGATCCCATCTATTAAACAAATTTTATATAGTCAAGGGCACCCTATATTCCTATTTTATAAAACTAATCAAAAAGACGATATGTTTTAAGTAATTCCATAAATAGCTCTAAATCCAAAAGTAATATTACGATGAGTCAGATAATTCCGGATATATCCAAGTATTGCGACTAGTAAAAATTGCTTGATAATCAAGGAAAAGGTTGAAGACCACAAGTCAATGCTCAAATTTTCCCCAGAATTTGATAGAATTTATGTATAATCTTTAATGGGATAAATAATTTTAAAAAGTTTTTTACATTTTAAATTTCTTCAAACATTATGCTATATTTATATCAGAGACCTGCAGGCCCGGTCCTAAGCCCGGCCCGGCCCTATACCCGGCCCGGCCGTATTTTAAATTTTTTAAATATACCCGGGCCGGGCCTAAAAAATTTTTTTTAAAATATATACGGGCCGGGCCTAAAAAATTTTTTTTAAAATATATCCGGGCCGGGCCTAAGATTGTTAAACCCGGGCCGGGCCTTAATATTTTTTATAAAATTTTTTACATTATGAGTTAATGGTTATAAGATTATATTATATTATAGTTATGATTAATATAATATTGGGTGATGGTTAACACACCTAACACTCACAGATCGATCTAATTATTAATTTCCTGCAAATTTATACAAAGTATTAATATATTTTTTTATAATTCATATCTAAATTTTTACAACATATTTTACCAAAACAATCAAATAAAGGAATATCTTAAATAAGCCCCAATATTCGAGTATTAATAATATATTTTTTATAATTCATATCTAAATTTTTTGAATATTTACCAAAACAATCAAATAAAGGAATATCATGGCACAAAATACTAATGATATAATTAATAAAATTAAAAATAATATTTATTCTTTTAGAAATACAAATAATAATTTAAAATCTTAAATATGGGCTAAATTTAACATCATCATAGATGAAAATAAAAAAAACATTGGCTACGTACAATGTAAGAATTGTTCAAGTATATTATCTTATAATTATAAACATGGTACATCACATCTAAAAAGACATAAATGTGATGGTAAATCCATGAAAATTAATAAATTTTTTTTACACCTGAAAAACCAACCTATAAATGTAATATAAAATATTTAAAAATTATAAAATAAATTATATTAATATTGTGCAATTAGATTATATTTTCAAAATACTATTTATTATACATGCATTTTTTTAAATAGCGATTTATTTTTATTTTATAAATTAAATAGTAAATTAAATACAATATATTATATTCTCAAAATATTTTGCATTTTTATAAATTAAATATTAGTTTTATTTTTTTTAAATGCAATATAAAATATAGTATATGCTCAAAATATTATTACCATTTTTATGAATATTAGTTTTATTTTTATAAATGCAAAAAATATAGTGTATGCTCAAAATATCCATTTTTATAAATAACAGTTTTATAATTTTTATAAATTCAATATAATATTCTCAAAATATTAGCCTTTTTCATGTATTTTTTAAATAATAAGCGATAATACTCGCTGAAAAATATAGTAAAATACCTCATGGGTAAATTTTTGTATATACCAGGTCGAATATAATTTTAAAAAATTCCGAGCCGGGCCTGAAACTTTTTTTTTAAAAAATATCCGGGCCGGGCCTTAAATTTTTAAATCCGGGCCGGGCCGTAAAAAATTTTTTTAAAATTTATCCGGGCCGGGCCGTAAAAAATTTTTTTAAAAAATATCCGGGCCGGGCCTAAAAAATTTAAAACCGGGCCGGGCCGGGCCGTGCAAATGGTGCCTCTGCAGGTCTCTGATTTATATGTTATATTATTATAAAACCGATAAATACAATTTGAGAAATTACCTGTTAAAAGTTATTTTTGGAGACAAATTTAAGAAAAAATGCTAATTTTACATGGATATAGAATAACATGAATTTTGAATTTGAAATTTAATTTTTATTCATTTTTATTCTATCTCCAGGACATAGAGAACATTTACGAATTTTTTCAATTGAAATTTTATTCTATAGCTCTTACCGTTTTGAAAAGAGGAGGATCATTTTTTAAAATCGCTCTCCTGTAAAGTTGGGAAATGTGGAGATAGAATAGTATAATACTAAGGCGGCGATTTATAACACGATATTAAAATATAAAAAAACGTAAATTATTTAAAACACTAGCTGATAGTCTCAGAATTTTCTTATATATTCAATGATGGATGAATTATTTGATGATGAATGAATCAGATATTTTCCTCTCTTATAAGGTGTGATTTATAAATTTATATTTTTTACACAAAACTCATCTAGTTTTTTATATTATAATTACAAATACAAATGAATATAATTTAATTTAAAAGATTTTTTATTGTGCAC